GGCTCTGCATTGACAGCAGTGAGCCCAATGTGGGACTTGAACTCATAAACCCATGAGACCATGGCCAGAGCCAAAGTTGGATGCTCAACCAATTGAGCCACCCAGGTGCCCTGAAAATTTTACTTTTTCTCTTTCAATCTAACCTCTCTCCCTCTTGCTATCTCTCTCTCTCTCTTCTCTGTCTCTGTCTCTCTCCTTATTTCTTTCTTGAACTGACTAGGAAATTCAGTACAAAGTGGGAGTAGATAATGCGGTCTTATTATTGATCTTGGGGGAAAGCTTTCTATTTGTAACCATTAATTATTATGTTAGCTATATTTTTCATAGATAGTCCTTGTTTTCAACGTTTATTTATTTTTGGGACAGAGAGAGACAGAGCATGAACGGGGGAGGGGCAGAGAGAGAGGGAGACACAGAATCGGAAACAGGCTCCGGGCTCTGAGCCATCAGCCCAGAGCCCGACGCGGGGCTCGAACTCCCGGACCGCGAGATCGTGACCTGGCTGAAGTCGGACGCTTAACCGACTGCGCCACCCAGGCGCCCCATAGATAGTCATTTTTATCAGCTGAAATATTTCCTTCTATTCATAGTTTCCTAAGATTTTCCACTTTTATGACTATTGAATATTAAAAGTGCTTTATAAAGTGTGGTGATCATCTGTTTTTTTCTTTTATTTTTGTTATTTTTAATTACTTTATTTTTAATATTCTAAATTATATTCCTTCATTATAAGATGTTAAAACTTGCATTCCTGGGATAAAGCTTAATTGCTCATGATGTGTTTTTACATATTGGTGGATTTGATATGCATAATAGGCATACCTTAGTGTATTGCACTTTATTGTGTTTTTCAGATACTATGTATTATAAATTCAATGTTTGTGGCAACCTTGCACTGAGCAAGCCTACCACTGCTATTTTTCCAACAACATTTGCTCATTTTGTGTCTGTATGTCACATTTTGGTACTTCTTGCAATAATTCAACACTTTTCATTATTGTTATATTTGTTATGGTGATCTGTAATCAGGGATCTTAGATGTTACATTGTTAATTGTTTTGGGGAGCCATGAACTGTGCTCACATAGGACAGAGAACTTAATTCATAAATGTTGTGTCTGAGTGTTCCACTGACCAGCCATTCCTTCATCTCTTTCTCTCCTTGGGCCTCCCTATTCTGAGATACAACAATAATGATATTAGGACAATTAATAATCCCACAAGTGCCCTTTGAGTCTTCAAGTGAAGGAAAGAGTTGCACATCTCTCAGTTTAAATCAAAAGCTAGAGAAAATTAAGCTTAGTGAAGAAGTCATGTCAAAAGCCAGGGTAAACCAAAAGCTAGGTCTTTTGTGATAAATGGCAAAGTGGTGAATGCAAAGGAAAAGTTCTTGAAAGAAATTAAAAGTGCTATTCCAGTGAACACACGAATGATAAAAAAGCAAAACAGCCTTATTGCTGATATGAACAAAGTATTAGTGGTCTGGATAAAAGATCAAACCAGCTACAACATTTCCTTAGTAAAGCCTAATCTAGAGCAAGACCCTAACTCTTTTCAATTCTCTGAAGACTGCAAGAGGTGAGGAAGAGAAGTTTGAGGCTAGCAGAGGTTGGTTCATGAGGTTTAAGGACCGACGCCATCTCCATAAAATCAACGTACAAGGTGAAACAGCAAATGCTGATGCAGAAGCTCTGGTAAGTTATTGAGAAAATTTAGTTAATAATAGTAGCTAATGAATGTGGCTGCACTAAACAACAGATTCTTAATATAGATGAGACAGCTTTACATTGGAAGAAGATGCCATCTAGGATTAGAGAGAAGTCAATGCCTGGTTTTAAAACTTCAAAGGACACAACTGACTCTGTTGTTAGGGGCTAATGGATCTTGTGATTTTAAGTTGAGGCCAGTACTCACTTACCATTCAAAAAATCCTAGAGCCTTCAAGAGCGATGCTAAATCAACTCTGCTGGTGCTCTAAAAATGGGACAACAAATCCTGGATGACAGCATATCTATTTACAATATGGTTTGCTGAATATTTTAGTTCCATTGTTGAGACCTGCTGCTGAGGAAAAAAAATTCTTTCAAAACATTACTGCCTATTGACATTGTATATGGCCACCTAAGAGCTCTGATGGAGAAGTGCAATGAGATTAATGTTGTTTTTCTCCTACTAACACAACATCTATTTTGTAGCCCATGGATCAAGGAGTAACTCCAACTTTCAAGTCTTATTATATAAGAAACAAACTTTTCATAAGGCTATAGCTGCCATTGATAGTGATTCCTTTGATGGATCTAATCAAAGTCAATTGAAAACCTTCTGGAAAGGATTCACCATGGAGAGGAATTTGGAAGAAGTTGATTCCAACCCTCATGGCTGACTTTGAAGGGCTAACACTTCAGTGGAGGAAGTAACTGCAGATGTGGTGGAAATAGGAAGAAAGCTAGAAGGAGGAGTGGAGCCTGAAGATGTCATTGAATTTCTGCAATCTCATGATAAAACTTGAACAGATGAGGAGTTGTTTCTTATGGATGAGCAAAGAAAGTGGTTTCTTAAGATGGAAACTATTCCTGGTAAACATGCTACAAAGATTGTTGACATGACAACAAAGGATTTAAAATATTACATAAGCTTAGTTGATAAAGCAGTGGCAAAGTTTGAGAATATTGACTCCAATTTTGAAAGAGGTTCTACTGTGGGTAAAATGCTATCAAACAGCATGATAGGCTGCAGAGAAATCGTTCATGAAAGGAAAAGTCAATCTATGTGGCAAACTTTATTGTCTTATTTTAAGAAATTGCCAAAAAATAAAATAAAATAAAAAGAAATTGCCACACCCACTCTAGCCATCAGCAACCAGCACTCTGATCGGTCAGCAGCCATCAACTTGGAGACAAGACCCTCCACCAGCAAAAAAGATTATGACTTGCTGAAAGCTCATGTGATGGTCAGCATTTTTTAGCAATAAAATATTTTTAATAGGTATATACACTTTTTTTAGACAATGCTATTGAATGCTTAATAGACTATAGTATACTGTAAACATAACTTTTATATGCACTGGGGAACCAAAAAGTTAATTTGACTTGCTTTATTGCAATATTTGTTCTATTGTGGTGGTTTAGAACTAAACTTGCATTATCTCTGAGATATATTAGATGTTGTTAAGGATTTTTTGCACCTGTGTTCATGAGGGATATTGGTCTATATTTTCCTTTCCTTCTGATGACCTTATTTGATTTTTTTTTTCAACACGGCAATGTTGATTTCATAAACTTGGTGGATAGTGCTCTCTTCTTCTAGAAAGAGTTTTCTGTTTAATTAGTGTTGTTTTTTTTTTATTCTAAACATAAATTTAGTGGATAGTACTCTCCTCTATTTCTGGGAAGAGTTTTCTGTTTGATTAGTGTTTTTTTTTCCACTGTACATATTTAATAGAATTCACTAGTTCAGTCATTTGTGGCAATGTTTTGAAATATGTATTCAATTTCATTAATAGATTCAATACTACTCATGTTTTTCTAACTTCCTATCTTGTCAATATTCTGATCAAGTTGTTTCTTGGGAAAAGGAGTTTTTCCATCTATCTCTTTTGTTGAGTTTATTGGCATGAAGTTGTTCACTGTATTGTCTGAATATTATTCTCATGTCTATCAAATCTGTAGTAATAGCTTCTTTTTATTCCCGAGACTGGTAATTATCACTCTTTTTTTGGATCAGTTTAATCAGGACTTACCAATTTTTATGAATCCTTTAAAATAACAAATTTTTCTTTATCAGTTATCTCTTTCAGATTGTTTTTTACTTAGTCGACATCCATTCCTATTTTTACTGTTTTTTGTTTTTTTTCTGCTTACCTCAGGTTCACTTTACTTTTCCTAGTTCCTTAAGGTAGAAACTTATATCACTGATTTTAGACCTTAACTCTTTGTATAAGATATTAAACCTAATCACTCCTGTAAACATTCATTTAACTGTGTATCACAAATTTTGATATGCTATGTTTTCATTATCACTCAGTTTAAAATATTTTCTAATTTCCTTTGGGATTTCTTTTATTGATGAGTTATTTATAAGTGTATGGTGTGATTTCCAAATACTTATTTATCATTTTTCATTTCCAAATTAATTCTGTTGTTATCAGATAATATCTTCTATTTGATTTTAATCCTTTCAAATGTACTGATACCTGTTTTGTGACTCAACAGGTGGTCTGATATGGTTTAAATACTGTGTCCCCTTAAAATTCATATGTTGAAATCCTAACCTGATACCTTCTCATTTAACCTTCCAGTCCATATCTTGCCATTGGTGTAAGGTAATCCTCTACTGCTTTAGGTTTTTGTTTGCTTGTTTGTTTGTTTTCGGCTTTATAAAGGCTAAGTTACTCAAAAAACAAACAAACAAATAAAAAAAACAAAACACCCCTGGATGGTGGAGATCATTGTGAAAACCATCCAAGGTTCTTTATAAAATCTCCAGATAGAAAATAATTGCCTGATTCTAGTAGTTGCTAGTTACCATTTAATTCTGCATTTCTTGGCCATAATATAAGGAGGCTTATACAAGTTAACAAATATTGTAAATCTTGTGTCCAGACAGCAAGCCAAAAACGTATGCGTTCAGCATTTCTGTGATCAAAATAATTCATCGGTGATCATTTTTTAATACAAAGGAGGAGTATTGAGGAAAAAATACCCAAATTTGGAAAGAGACAAAAAGATAAATACATATTTTTCAATGTTTTACTGAGGCATTATCTTATATGTCCACCTAAGAATTTTCTAATTCTTCAGGATAATGTAGGTTTGTCTGACTTATTGTTTACTGTTGGTTGGGGTGTTTTGCCCTTCTATATATTTAGCTGTTAACTCACAGAAAACATAATGATGCAAATGCTACAATAAATAATGATGCAAATAAATTTTGTCTAGTAGATATGCAAATGTATTTTCTTTTTATGTAACAGAGTTTACAAGATAAAGTTCACAGTCACAGTATTGCCCTAGAGGACATTAACCAGTTTTGCACATAATTTAGCAATTTTATCCTAGCCTTCTTTCTTTTAGTGGCTATAAATACAAGTGTTTCTCCTTTGAACCAGATTTGCCACCTTGCTAATTCCCTCATGGACATATTAAAAAAATCTTTAACGTCCTTAAAAACCAACCAAACAACAACCAAAAACCTGAATACTACTTTTCACCATAACTGGTTATAATCACCTGAAGCTGGTAAATGACCATAAACTTTGAGTTCTCCATTTGCAGAAACTTTTTTTCTTACTGAAGACCTTTTCCTGACCACATACAATAGAAATTTTTTAACCAACAGCACACAGATTTATGGACTCATTCTGTCTTATCCAGAGTTCTGGATAACTGAACAATGAACTTAACTGAACAAGGAGTCCATGAATTCTTCATCCACCATGATATGTTCTCCTTAAATGACCAACTTAAAGAATTTCTTCACTCCTGTGTGCACTCTTGTCCTTTGTCTGGTGAGTAAATAAGCTCAGAGGTTTTTTTTGTTCAGAGTGGTCTTCGTTATCTGTGCTTTATCACCTTAAAGGAAATGGTTTCAAGATACCTGCATTTATACCTGTTGTTTCATGTTCAGGCCTTGTGATATAATAGCAGTAAAACATACTTTTTAGCAATACAGACCTATGTTTGAATCCTAGAATTCCTCAGGCAAGCTATTTGCCTCTTTAACTTTCTATTTTCTGCAAAATTGGACTAAAGACACCAACACATAAGACTGTTTTGAGGATTATGTAAAATAATCCATAATAAGCACCTGATAATTAATAAAGTGTGGGTTTCTTCTCACTTAAAATATAAGAACATGTAGTTTGAGAACTCCTCTGAATCATCGACAAAAAAGATTTTTTTTTTCCTTCAACACACTGCTAGGATTGCACTTTGAAAAACCACCACCAGTAACTTCTCAGAGCAAATTCACACGTACTTGTTACAAACCTACCTCAGTCTGAGAATCAAATGTTTTCTATTTTAGAGAGGGTATCCTGCAGGTACTGTTAGCCATTATTCAGTTAAAGGGATTAATGTGGACAATTTGAAAGGAAGGTGAATGTCTATTTTTAGACTGAAAGGCATTAATTTGGAAAACTGAGGTGAATTCATCTAGAGAAACATCAAATTTGAGGATAACTCTAGGAACGAAGGCATCCCCCAACTAGCTTTCTCTCTTTCCCCTCATGGATCCACACCAGGACACCTAAGGAAGGTGAGACTAGGGTGGATTGTATAATAGGAGCTCCTCAAGGAGAGGAATTAGTTCTATTCATCTGTACCAAGGTTCCTGGTATTATTTTCAACTATTAATAAATTATTATTGAATAATCAAAGCTGGGTAGTTTCTTATTCTAAATTTGCGGCTCTAAGCATAAACAGACAGAAGAGCCTTGGCATGTTTAACTACTCAGTTCAAATATGTGATTGGACTGATTGCTTTCCCCAGGGTCAGAGAATTTTCATCGTTGGTAGCTTTGGTATGGTGTCAACACTTTTACAAGTAAAATGCAACACATCCTGGTGTTAAGTAAAGAAGTTTTTTTAGAAAAAAAATTCTCAACATGTTGTATAGTCTTCAAGCAAAAATACTGAAAGTCAGTGGTGCCTATGTATATACATTGCTAATATATATATTAGCAATCCAGTTCTGGGCAAGAGTTCAAAGGAAATATCTGCTACAATGTTAGACACTTTCCAACAGAGTGGGGAAAAGATTCCAATAAAAATCATGCATTTGATCAGCTGCCATATTAGTGGATGGGTTTTTTCAGCTCTTAATCTAAATGTTCTTGTTGGAAAGGAAGAGTTTTACCTTCCATTTGGGTATTAGTGGGAATAATATATCAATATCTTTCAATGGATGAAAATTTGTTTTGATAATATGATCTACTGAATACAGAGGTCTACTCTTTAGATGTAAATTGAATTCAGATGTTTCTAAAAAAATGTGATAAGGAGCTTTTCCAAAAGACAATCTTTATCATTCTTTCAAGAAAAGAATTATAGATCCTGGATACTCGTCATTAGAATACATTTTAAATACTTAATCCCTTTAGCTTGGAATTTTGTTTCAATATAACCAGAATTTGATGATGCAGCAATAGTGTTATAAAATTAGCCATTTAAGATTGTTTCATGTACATGGCTAAACCAATCTTCTGACTTTTTTTCCTTAATTCATCTTATATGTATCTTGTTCAAGAAATGTCTCTATCATATGACTTCACTCATATGATGACTTTAAGACACAGAACAGATGAACACGAGGGAAGGGAACCAAAAATAATATAAAAACAGGGAGGGAGACAAACCATAAGAGACTCCTAAATATGGAGAACAAACAGAGGATTACTGGAGGGGTTGTGGGAGGGGAATGGGCTAAATGGGTACGAGACATTAAAGAATCTACCTCTGAAATCATTGTTGCACTATATGCTAACTAATTTGGATGTAAATTAAAAAAAAATAAAACAAAACAAAATAAAATAAAATAAGAAATGTCTCTTAGTAGAGTTGAAAATTAACCCTAGAGGAAATAAATCTTGTTCCATATTTAATCCTGGATTAAGATAATATTGGTTTCATAGAATCATATTTAAAAAAATATAGGGATCTTGGGTGGCTTAGTCAGTTAAGCACCTGACTTCGACTCAGGTCATGATCTCACGGTTTGTGAGTTCAAGCCCGGCATCGGGCTCTGTGCGGACAGCTCAGAGCCTGGAACCTGCTTTGGATTCTGTCTCCCTGACTCTCTGCCCCTCCCCCACTAGTGCTCTGTCTCTCAAAAATAAATAAATGTAAACAAAAAATTAAAAATTAATATAATGCATTACTTATGCTTCAAAAATACAAATTGATTTTTGTACTTTTGCAAGAGTCAATATAAATTCACGAACTATAAAAATTTGCAAAGCCATGTGTTCCTCTTTTGTTATTTTTAAAACCAATACTGTGGGGGGAGGCACCTGGGTGGCAACTGGTCAGCTAAGCAACTGACTTCGGCTCACGACACGTCATGATCTCCTGTTTCCAGAGTTAGGGTCCGGCATTGGGCTCCCTGCTGTCAGGGTGGAAGAAGCCTACTTTGATCCTCTGTCTCCCTCTCTCTCTGCCCCTCCCCTGTTCACGAGGGTGTGTGTTCTCTCTCACTTTTTCTCTCTCTGTCCCTCAAAAGTAATAAATAGACATTAAAAAAAATAAGCACGATACTGTGCATTTACAGGACACGTACGAAGAGTAAGTGGACAAGGAAAAGAATATTAAAACAAAAAAACCAGATTTTTGTACCTAGTTGATCTCTTCATTCTTCCTCATGACACGGACTGTAGCTGATACACACTGTTTACAAAACTTGGACTATGATCTGTGACTATGAATTTTGGAGGTCATTGGGAAATTTGATCTTGGCAGGTATGTTGCCCTCTTCAATGTTGATTACAAAGTTTAGAATCCCGTTGTTTTTCTGATAAGTATGATATGAGAACAATTTCTAGCTGAATGAAAAACAAAACACATTGTCATGAAGGAAAAGTATAGTTTACAAACTGAAAGAAGCTCATTTAATCAATATAAATACTAATTGTAATAATTTATGCCAATGCATCTTTCTGACATATACTCTGACCAGCAGGTGGAGTAAAAATGGTTGGTACTTGGTTTAAAATTCTAAAAAGCAAGATGCATATGACTTCTGAATGTCAAGAGTACCAAAATGTCATTCTGGTTGATTGAATTCAGATGTGTTTGCACCTGGAAATCATTGTGGCCTCTTTTAGTTATTCAATGGTGGAAGATATTAGACTATGGCAATTTTGATATGTACGGAAAATATGGTGTATTTAAAATTTTCTTTTCCTTCACTCTTCTTTTAGCTCTTTCACTCTCTCTTTACTTTTGAATTTTAAGAAAAATACATGTTTGTGGCAAACATCCTGTTTTAGAAGGTTATTTGGTAAAATGTGGAAGTCTCTTTCACCTATCCTGCTTCTTCCCACTCTACTGTTAAGTGGTCTTAAAAAATTGACATAATTCAATGTAGTTCACAGGTCTGGAAGATATTTTCCCTCATTTTTCTTTGTTTTTGACTTTGTTTTGATAAAAAATTTTATTTGTTTGCAATAAAACATATCAGTCTTTTCCTTTATAGCTTCTGGTTTATATTGAATTTAGGGACAGCCTTCCATGTCTCCAGATTATAAAATAATGTCACCATATTTTCTCTATTATTTATGGTTTTATTTTTTCAATTTATATCTGTAATCCAGCTAAAGTTTTATATGATTGTTTTTCTTCTTCTTCTTCTTCTTCTTCTTCTTCTTCTTCTTCTTTTTTGAAGGCCTGAGGAAAAGACTTGGTTTATTATTTTTTCTTAAATAATTGACTAGCCAGTTGTCCTATCTCCTTTATTTTAATTTTAAAATATGACAACATTCTCTCTGTTAAGTTCAAACAAAGGAGAACAAAGCTTTCTATGGTCATTGTATCAACTCTTCTATTTTTTGATCTTACAACAAAAGTTTGCAGCATCTCAGTGGTATTGATAAACATAGCTCCAGGGAAAATTGTCATAAAAGAAGGAATTTATTGCATATTCAATCTGCTTCTCATTTGAAGTAGAATGCTTTTCTGATTTATTTAAAAGTGCAATAGGATGGTTGAAGAGAGCTTTTGATGGAGAATTTGTTGACAACTGAATTTTTATAAAGCTATTAAATGGCAGATTCCTAGTTATAGGAAAAAGTTTTTTGTCCAGTTGGAAGACAAAGTAAATCAGACAGTTTCAGAATTTAATAATTTTAAACCAACCATAACATTGAAGCTACACAAGGAATATGTGTTTCATTAAAATTTTAGTTACACCCTGAATTTTAGACTCTTGCCCATAGAGCAAGTGATAAGGGTAAAGCAATCTCGTGTTGGGTGTGTTATATGGACTTTTGCAGAAGCCAATCGTCCTTCTATGTCTGCAAACTCAATGAAAGAACTGATTGGTGCAATAACCTAAAACTATTTTATGAAATTAAGTATTCTTTTTTGGTCCCTCTTTTAACACCACCCCCATCCCACTCCTTCACTTGTAAACTTCTCATGCAAATGATATGGGCACAAATGATTGTCTCAGGGGCCTGGAACCAGATAAGCTGTAGCCCTGGTGAATACAGTCACAGAGAAGTAATTAGGTCAACAATAAATCACTGCCCATTGCAACTAATGGATTTAGTCAATTAGAAACTTTAAGAGGCACAATACCATCAGAGAGGTGGAATAGTTTAATGGATAAAGCATGCGTTCTGCACTGGGTTCTACTCCTGTAACCAATATACTACCCATGTTAAATAACATGAATTTAAATAAATAAATTGAAAAAAAAAAGCATCTGCTCTGATGTCTAGCTTCCTGGGTTCCAATATTGTTTCTGTTGCTTGACAACTGTGTGTTATTTATTATTTACTGGCAACCATGTGTCCTTTAGTCTCTTTGGCACTCAGTTTCGTCATCTGCAGAAATAGGGTTGTGAAGAAAAATTAATACAGGTAAAGCATTTAATATTTGATCAATTCTGGTTAATAGTCTTTAAGTTTTTGTTCTGTAAGAGGGACACTGTCTTTTATTTATTTATTTATTTATTTTTAATTTTTTTTTTTCAACGTTTATTTATTTTTGGGACAGAGAGAGACAGAGCATGAACGGGGGAGGGGCACAGAGAGAGGGAGACACAGAATCGGAAACAGGCTCCAGGCTCCAAGCCATAAGCCCAGAGCCTGACGCGGGGCTCGAACTCACGGACCGCGAGATCGTGACCTGGCTGAAGTCGGACGCTTAACCGACTGCGCCACCCAGGCGCCCCGGGACACTGTCTTTTAGAATCCGTAATATCAAGATTAAAAATTGTTTGGTAATAATGCAAGCACTTGTCTTTCAAATTACTTTGAGACTATGGAGAAAAGTTAGCAATTGACACTATCCTAATGTGTCCAGACTTCAGTTCCTATCTGGATTCTACTTTCTTGGAAGCATTTTACTATTACTAGCAAGGCCTAAGAAGTTCTCCTTTGGAGTTTCATTTGTTTTACAAATGTGACTCTCCCTTCCCTCAGAATAGATAAAGAGTACATCATTCCGTAGAAAATACAGAAAAGTATAAAAGGGAAAGTAAAAAATCAAGTACAATTCCATTACTCAGAGAAAATCTCACATAAGATTTAATGTTCTCTTTCACACGTTTCTTCTTAAGATTCACAGCTATTTTCCCCATAGTTACATTTTTTACAAAAATGTTTATTTAGTTTTGAAGGAGAGAGAGACAGAGTGTGAGTGGGGGAGGGGCAGAGAGAGAGGGAGACACAGAATCTGAAGCAGGCTCCAGGCTCTGAGCTGTCAGCACAGAGCCCAATGCAGGGCTTGAACTCACAAACCATGAGATCATGACCTGAGCCAAAGTCGGACGCTTAGCAGACTGAGTCACCCAGGTACCCTCCATAGTTACGTATTTTTAAAAACAATGTCTAGTAGTTATATAATATTCTTTTATATTTCTTTTTTTTTTTTTTTCAATGTTTATTTATTTTTGGGACAGAGAGAGACAGAGCATGAACGGGGGAGGGGCAGAGGGAGAGGGAGACACAGAATCGGAAACAGGCTCCAGGCTCTGAGCCATCAGCCCAGAGCCCGATGCGGGGCTCGAACTCACGGACCGCGAGATCGTGACCTGGCTGAAGTCGGACGCTTAACCGACTGCGCCACCCAGGCGCCCCATTATTCTTTTATATTTCAACCTTAATTTATCTAACCCTGTGGATATGCTTCTATGCATCTATATAATAATATCGATCTAGTTCTTAGTTTCTCTTGCTACAAGTAATGCTGGTACTATGTCCTTTATTGCATCTTTGATTATTTCCAAAGGAGAGATTTCTGAAACGCTATGGTATTATTGAGGACCTTGATACATATTGTCAAAGTATTTCCCAGAAAGTTTGTGCCGATTTATATTCCTACCAGGTGTATTGCTACTGTCTTTAGGATAATGTTTTCTAATTCTTGCCATTTTGTTGGTTAAAAATATCTTCTATTCTTATTTTAATTTGCATATCTGTTTAATAGTGAGTTTGATTATTTGCACACATTTTTTTTATTAAGAATGAATTCTAGGGGCGCCTGGGTGGCGCAGTCGGTTAAGCGTCCGACTTCAGCCAGGTCACGATCTCGCGGTCCGTGAGTTCGAGCCCCGCGTCAGGCTCTGGGCTGATGGCTCAGAGCCTGGAGCCTGTTTCGGATTCTGTGTCTCCCTCTCTCTCTGCCCCTCCCCCGTTTATGCTCTGTCTCTCTCTGTCCCAAAAATAAATAAATGTTAAAAAAAAAAAAAAAGAATGAATTCTATATTATTTTTGTTTCCCTTCCCTTATGTTCATCTGTTTTGTCTCTTAAAGTCCTCATATGAGTGAAGTCCTATGATTTTTGTCTGTCTCTGACTGATTTCACTTAGCACAGTACCCTCCAGTTCCATCCACGTCGTTGCAAATGGCAAGATTTCATTCTTTTTGATTGCCGAGTGATACTCCATTATATATACCACATTTTCTTTATCCACTCATCCATTGATAGACATTTGGGGGACAAAACAGAAGAGATTCATAAATATGGAGAACAAACTGAGGGTTACTGGAGGGGTTCTGGGAGGGGGGATGGGCTAAATGGGTAAGGGGCATTAAGGAATCTACTCCTGAAATCATTGTTGCACTAGATGCTAACTAATTTGGATGTAAATTTTAAAAAATAAAGAATGACCTTTAAAAAGAGAATGAATTTCTATGTCTTTTTAACTGAAGATCTACTTTGCCAGTATTTTTTAATGTGTTATCAGTTTGTAAGGGTTAACAATCAAGATTAAAGTAATTGTTTATATTTATGCAGCCACTTAGTGCATTATATTATAGACTCAATTTGTCTCTTATACGACTGTGCCATTTGAGTTAAGATAACTGCAATGTTTTATTTGGGACTAATTTTAAACCTACTTGCATCTGCTACTATTACCTTTACCCCTCTTTTCAGGTCCCTATCTCTGAGGACCTGTTTTCTGGATGCTTACACATAATTATACTTTAGCTCCCGAGAAACCCTGCCCAGGCCTACTTTTGCATATATTTCTTTAAACTCAGCCACTTTTTCACACCCTTATTCCATTAAATTCTACCTGTTTGGCACACTAATCTCTCAGGACTGAAGAATATTTTATTTTTAAATCAGATCACAATGTACTAATATACTTCCTTCCCTAGATAGGTAAATTTAGCATGTTAAGGAGTAGTTTTAGCATAGGAAATAGCACAGTATACAACAAGTTAGAAAAGACTTTTTTATATAGACAGGTGTTCTGATACACTGAGATAAGACTAGCCCACCAGGTAGATATTAGCTGCCTAGCTATCTACAGTGTGAGCCTTGGGTTACTTTTAATTTATAGTTTCCAAGATCTCATGAGATTTCCCATTGATTTCTGCATCTGTTAGAAAATGCATAAATCTTTAAATGCTGGGATATTAAAAATCTTAGATCTCAAAAAGCAGGGATGACCTGGCTTTGACAGAGTTAAAAAGAATAGTAACACCCTAAAACAGCTAGAAAGCTCCCAGGAAGGGCAATTTAAATGACTAAGGATATTTCTAAACTCTGAAAAATGATGGAATAGAAATATTGAACTCCAGTCTGAAAAGTCAAATGCTGATGAATGAGAAAGAAGACCAGCGTTCATCCGATCACAAAAGTGAAAAGGAGTGACAGGGAGATTTGTTCAAACTCTCAGTATTAGAATTATGAGCTATCTGTCAAACATACAAATCACAATTCTAGAGAACCATCAAGGAACATATGTAACTAGTATACATTAATAAAATTAGAGACTTTAGGGGCGCCTGGGTGGCGCAGTCGGTTGAGCGTCCGACTTCAGCCGGGTCGCGATCTCGCGGTCCGTGAGTTCGAGCCCCGTGTCAGGCTCTGGGCTGATGGCTCAGAGCCTGGAGCCTGTTTCCGATTCTGTGTCTCCCTCTCTCTCTGCCCCTCCCCCGTTCATGCTCTGTCTCTCTCTGTCCCAAAAATAAATAAACGTTGAAAAAAAAAATTAAAAAAATAAAATAAAATAAAATAAAATTAGAGACTTTAGATAAATTTAGAGGTGAAAGACCCATAAGTGTCTAGGAACTGACAGTGGTTAAGGCCTGGTCTTCCTCCAGGCATTCCTTGCTGATGATCTCATGGGGCGTATTTTCCTTCACTTCCTACTGTCCTTTTCCCCTCTCGTCTCAACAGAATGATGCTGGATGCTATTGTCTGAGGTTTGCTTAGGTCCAGTGTAATAGTCCTAATAATCTATGTTAAATCAATGGTCATCAATAAAGATATATTAGCCATAAACTAAGCACATATGGTTGCAAAATTTGACAGCGTCTGATAATTTTGGAACCACTGATTCTAAAAGAGCAATGATTTTACAGAATTTGAAGGCATTTAGGTGCTTTCCTTAGAGTAGGAGAAAGGCCATCATACTGTATGTGTAATTTTCTGTAATTTTACCACTTAAACTAGATGTATCTGAAAATGGCTCCTATGTTCAATAGGCTATGAAATAAAATTGCCTTTTCTGGGTAGTAATACAAACTAATATAAAGGTCACTGTCATGTTTTAGACTTTCAACAATGTTCGTTGTGCTACAAATAACTGTGGCCAGCATTATTATTTCATGAAATCTAAATTGTATAAATTGGATTTTAATATGTAAGGTAAGTGGAAGATGAATTATATTGAAAATGTGTACATACCATATTACTCTTTAATTGAAATCCTTTTTTGAGGTTTCTTTTAAAGCTAAAGCTAATATCTCTTAGCGTCTCTAGTTATCGAAACCTGGGTTTGAGTTCAGTGTTTATGCAAAAACAAATTATGTGGAACTGGTCATAGGAATTATAGAATATTATCTATCTTGGGCTGTTCCCAGATACTACAGAAAGTCTTCTTCGTAACAACTCCTTCATATTACTCTTGATGCGATTCTCTTTTTTGTATAACACACTAATTTTATTTTATTTTATTTTTTATATGGCAGGTATGGAGAGTGTCATTGTTGACAAGTTGTCACAGCAGCACCAACATTTTGCTGACCAGCCAGATGGGTTTTGACAGTTTCACTGAAAAAGGACACAGTGTGATCGAGATACCAATATTAAGAGTGAATACAAAACATAAGAAGTGACAAAAGCTCACCTAAGACCTATAATAAATGATTCTGGAGCCATATTAAGTTCCATCTTTAAATTCTACTTCCAGAAAGGTCTCTCTGTTTAACTTATCCCAAAATTATTTTATTAGTTGACCTACTTATCACCATTACAGAGTTGCCACTGCTGGTAAAGATAAACTGGTGCTATGGTCGATTCAAAGTGACAGAGACATTGTTCCTGGCTTTAATGGACTTATGATCTAGTAAGAGAAATAGACAAGTACACAAAAATTTATGATGCAAACAGGCACAAAAGAAGCAGAAGTCCTATGCACCGTTCATAGAAAAGAGTGATGAGTGGTGTTGGCGAAATTAGGGAAGATTTCATGAAGGAAGTGGAATTCTGAATTGGTCCCCAACAATCAGCAGAAGCAGTGCCTGGGTGGAGGGTATTCATGAGAGAGGTGGGAGCATGAGTGAAGTCAACTAAAAAATAGTGAGTGGAAATGGTTTGCTGAATCAAAAGTGCATGAATTTACTCATTCACTCATGCAGCAAATAGTTAATGAATGCCTAGTTCTAATGCCATATTTTAGGAGTACAATGGTGAATGAAATAGATTTGGTCTGTGCCTTTATGGAGCAAATTACAACCTGGTGAGGAGACAGACAGCAAGTAATAAACAAGCTATGAATATACTGTTTCAAGTGGTAATAGGTGCTATGAAGATATAAACAAAGGTTGGAGGCAGAATACAAGGGAAGTCTACTTTAGATAATCAGAAATCTCTGAAGGGGAGGGATTTACCTTGAGACCTGAAAATTGAAAAGTAGCCTGAGGAAAAAAGAGACTGAGAGGAGAAAGAGTGTCTCAAACAGGGCAAATGGCATATCCCCTGAAGGGATATAGAACTTTTGTTTGAGAGACTGAAAGAAAGTCAGTGGGACTGGAGGGTAGTGAGGAAGGAAAATGGAAAGAAGACTGGAAAAACACACGCAGGCCCAAATTAATCTATGAGATTTTCAGCTGCAGGAAGACATTTGGTTGCTATCTGAAATGTGATGGGAAGTCATGAAAGAATTCAACAAACATGTAGCATGATTTTATTGATTACTCTGGATGCCATGTGGAAACTAAATATGTAGAAATAAAAAATGCAATTGGGAAAAATAGGCAGGAGGCTATTGTAGTAGGTGAGGTAAGAAATAATGGTAGTTTATAGAAGTTTATGGAATCAAGATGTATTTATCAAAAACAGATATATAGACCAATGGAATAGAATAGAAACCCCAGAACTAGACCCACAAACGTATGGCCAACTCATCTTTGACAAAGCAGGAAAGAACATCCAATGGAAAAAAGACAGTCTCTTTAACAAATGGTGCTGGGAGAACTGGACAGCAACATGCAGAAGGTTGAAACTAGACCACTTTCTCACACCATTCACAAAAATAAACTCAAAATGGATAAAGGACCTGAATGTGAGACAGGAAACCATCAAAACCCTAGAGGAGAAAGCAGGAAAGGACCCCTCTAACCTCAGCCGTAGCAATCTCTTACTCGACACATCCCCAAAGGCAAGGGAATTAAAAGCACAAATGAATTACTGGGACCTTATGAAGATAAAAAGCTTCTGCACAGCCAAGGAAACAACCGACAAAACTAAAAGGCAACCAATGGAATGGGAAAAGATATTTGCAAATGACATATCGGACAAAGGGCTAGTCTCCAAAATCTATAAAGAGCTCACCAAACTCCACACCCGAAAAGCAAATAACCCAGTGAAGAAATGGGCAGAAAACATGAATAGACACTTCTCTAAAGAAGACATCCGGATGGCCAACAGGCACATGAAAAGATGCTCAACGTCGCTCAACGTCAAAACCACACTCAGATATCACCTCACACCAGTCAGAGTGGCCAAAATGAACAAATCAGGAGACTATAGATGCTGGAGAGGATGTGGAGAAATGGGAACCCTCTTGCACTGTTGGTGGGAATGCAAATTGGTGCAGCCACTCTGGAAAGCAGTGTGGAGGTTCCTCAGAAAATTAAAAATAGACCTACCCTATGACCCAGCAATAGCACTGCTAGGAATTTACCCAAGGGATACAGGAGTGCTGATGCATAGGGGCACTTGTACCCCAATGTTTATAGCAGCATTCTCAACAATAGCCAAATTATGGAAAGAGCCTAAATGTCCATCAACTGATGAATGGATAAAGAAATTGTGGTTTATATACACAATGGAATACTACGTGGCAATGAGAAAAAATGAAATAGGGCCTTTTGTAGCAACGTGGATGGAACTGGAGAGTGTGATGCTAAGTGAAATAAGCCATACAGAGAAAGACAGATACCATATGTTTTCACTCTTATGTGGATCCTGAGAAACTTAACAGAAAGCCATGGGGGAGGGGAAGGAAAAAAAAAAAAGAGGTTAGAGTGGGAGACAGCCAAAGCATAAGAGACTCTTAAAAACTGAGAACAAACTGAGGGTTGATGGGGGGTGGGAGGGAGGAGAGGGTGGGTGATGGGTATTGAGGAGGACACCTGTTGGGATGAGCACTGGGTGTTGTATGGAAACCAATTTGACAATAAATTTCATATATTGAAAAAAAAAAAAAAAAGATGTATTTACCAGGATTTGCTGATGGCGATAAAGACACAAGGCTGTTAACACAGGTTAGGGACCGAGCAGAAAAAAGTCTTGTGATTCAGTTCTGTGTCACATACCTCTGGAAGCTTTCTCTGACCTCTGCACGTTGGGGCAAGTGTCCCCTCTACAGTGCTGTTACAATACCCAGCATTGCACATTTCACATTATAATGTAGCTACCTGTTTGTGTTTATTTTCCCAACAAATCAACAGCTAGTACCTGGAGAGCACAGACCATATTCAGCATTATTACCTCATTCATAGACCCAATAATAATTTGTTGAAGACATGACTTTAGGTTGAATTTGGCAGAATATTTTGGCTTTCTGAGAAGATATTAGGATAAAGAACTAGGGTAGTAAACAGATTCAAGCAACAACAGCGTAAGGGGAACTGCCTAAAGAACAAGCCAAAAAGTTAATCTGTATATTAATCTGTAGATAGTACAAAATTACTTGAGCTTGTAATTTTTGAGCCATTTAACAAGGCAAACAAATCAGTGTTTTTAGTTATATTTCAGAGAATTTGGATCAAATAATATTTTATTAAAATATCCTTGCCCTCAAATCTAAAATTATTATATGATTAGTTTGAAGCCCTATAAGTCTGGAGTCTTACTCAAATCAATTTTCATTCTATGGGTAATCTGGAGTAGGAAGCCATTATGGAGGCAAAAGACTTGTTTTAGAGTCATCCTTCACCATTACAGTGGGTGAGTTAGTGTCTATGGCTTTCCTTTATCATTTCTAAAATCCTAAGAGGTTGTCTGGTCTGGCTGTGCTAGTCATATAGTTATGTGTTTAGGGGAAGTAGGGGAGGAAACTGACTTCAAGTACTTTACAATCTACCTGGGCATATGTCTCAGACATTCCAGTAAGTTTGATTTGCTTAAGTATATTCTCTTGAATGGGAAATTTTTAAAGATTTTGTAAAAAGAGCTCTCATTGTCCCAGCAGGAGTGATGCATGTGGGATAAAGTGAATCTGACGCACATTTAGGAAAAAAATAAAAATAAAAACAAACTCAGTCTTCAAGTATTTATAAAGACATAGATGGAAACATGATTCAGTTTTCTACTGTAAAAAAAATATTTTACAAAAACAGCATAGATATCTGTACTAGAAATGCACGCTGCACCCCACTACTCACATCCCCTTCTAATGAAAACTACCGATTTCAAGAGCTCTGTTTCTAGGGAGGTACATTTTATGTCACATAGCTCTTTGTCTCTCTGCCCCTAGAGAGCAATCTTATATAGTTGGTCCCTAGAGCTGCTTTAGATTTAGTTCCTCAGTGTTGTCTAGTTCCAGGCCTAGTCTACATATATTCCTAAAATAAACTCTCATCTTCTTGAGGCAGATTAAATTAGTCTCCATTCCTTGCCACTGAAAGAGCAAAACTAAAAATAGTGTTGATCAGTTATGTATGAGAAAATGAAAACCCATTGTAAAAAAAAAAAAAAAGGATTAGGGAGAAAGAAATCTATTTCCAGTGAGTTTCGAGGATGGTTCTAATTTATTTTTCTTTTATGAGTGGGCCATCTCTAGGGACAGAAACTTTCGTAGAGCTCCCATTGCAGCTTCCAAGTGTTGCATGTTGTTCTGGATCTTGCCCTAGATCTCTTGACGCTGATGCTGGTGGTCTATCAGAACCACTCCAAGGAAGCCCCTGCAAGCATTGATTTCAAGGCCTAGCCCCCGAAGATTCTGCAGGAAGTCTGAGGTACACCTGGGCACCTGTAATTGTTTAAGAAGCTCCATAGGTGGTTCAGACACACAGCTAGGTTTTAAAACCATGCCTGATGACCTCGAGCAGTTTTGAGTCAGAGATGCAGTCATATATCTTGAAATGTTAGGCCTCTCTGCTAAAATGTCCTTCTGTTCTCTACTTCTGATTTAAAGACAGAGAAAGATTTATTTTTCTTTCTTTATCTACTCCGTTGGCAATAACACAATAGTATTTGAGTCTTTAAAACTGGTCTCATCTGGCTTTGCTTCCTATGGGAGGAAGAAATAAGTGATTTATCATTTTGGAAAACATAAATTGAAATTCTAGGGCCAGCATGGCATCAGAGAGTCCCATGAGAACCTTTCCCTTTAGGCAAGACAGAACACCAGAATTTCTGAATCTCTTTTCATTCCCTCTGACTGCCCCAGCTCGTCCTACCTCGTCTTCAGGAAGTACAGAAGTTAGAAACAACAAGGATATTTGGTGTTTAAAGCTCTTAAAAATATTTGCCTTTCTATTTCACCATTTGGGATGCATTGAAACAGACCTGAGCACAGGAAATTGCTAAATCACAGGACTAAATACATTGGAATGATTATAAATCATTGATCTCCAGCCTTAGTTAGATTCTAATTATTTATCATTATTTATTATTATTTTATCTTCTAATTATTTCTTCATTCTCTTCAAC